TGATTTTGTAAGCACGTAGGACAAAATCTTTGTGCAAAATGCGGTGCAGGCTGGTTTGTGAAATGCCCAATTTCTGCAAACGTCTCACAATCGACAAAACAGAATTTTCCGCGACTCTTTCAACCACTACAGCGACGTTTTCGACTGATCTATATGGCCGAGCACAGGTTGGGTTCTTAACATCGCTAACCTGGTCGAGATGTTCAAATTTATCGATTAAATTTAAAATTAATTTATAATTGCTGGATGAGATTGTGCTTCTCTGCGACCGAAAGTGGTACGGATTTTGTGAACTGTCTCCGTAAATTTTTCACCGTGTTTGTAGTGAGTTATCGCTATTACTATGCGTTGCTCAAACAAATATCGATCCATTATAATTAACTGCACAGTTTTTTATTTGCCAACTATCAAATGTAAAAACTCCATCTGTAACAGTTACAAAATGCTGCGAAACTTAAAATGAAACCTCTTAATGGAAGATCCTGTATAGATAAAAAAAACATTATTTTAACAAGCTTTCATACTCTCACGCAAACGAAAATATTCTCACATTATTTTATTTTTGGTAATATTCTATTCAAAACAAAGCAATTTTAGTTACGTTGGAAAAACCAACAGATTAATTATACCAGTTTACAAATTTCGGTCAACTCTTGTACTGGAGCAGCTGATAACTTTTTTAAGGTAATTTTTTACCCTGAATTCAAATCCGGTACCAGAATTTTTCTAGGTCGTCAGGTTTTCGAGATATCGCCAGTTAGCAGTAACTGTCGTGTCATTATGGTAACGGCTTATCTTGACAGCAGATTGTTTGGAGCAAATTCATTGTGCGTGTCTTTTTTATCAACCTACAAGACGTGTTGCTCCCGCCGCTGCACATTAAACTTGGTCCATCTAATGATAAACTTTGTCATAGCACTCGACCGAGACGGACCTGCTTTCCAGTATTTGGCGACAAAGTTTCCAAAAATATCTTCTGCCAATATCAAAGACGGAATTTTTATGGATCCACAAATAAGAGAATTAATTAATTAATGATCAGCAGTTTTCGCAACATTTGTCAGCCGCAGAAACCTCAGCACGGACGTCCTTCAAAAGAGCTGTCCGTGAACTTCTCGGTAACCAAGAAAGCGACAACTACAGGCAAATAGTTGCGGATCTGCTAGAAAATTATCGTCAAATTGGTGTTCGTATGTCGCTCAAGCTCCATTTCTTATATTCCCATTTCAAGTTTTTCCCAGAAAATTTGGACGAAGTAAGTGATGAGCAAGGCGAATGAATGCACCAGGATATGTAAAGAATTGAGCGTAATTACCAAGTTTTTTGGGATAAGGGCATGCTCAACGATTACTGCTGGTTCTTATTGCGTGAAACGGACCCAAAACAACACAAAAGACCAAAGTTTGGCAGCCGTTCATTTCTAAATTTTTTAAATAAAATGGGCCATTGGTGGAAAAAATGGGTTTTTCATATATCTCGAAAACCTGACGACCTACGAAAAAACGGATTGCAAATTTTGAATCTGCGTCGAAAATTACCTTCGAAATATATTTTAGCTGCTACAGTATGAAACCGTGAATACCAGTATTAAAAGCAAGTATATTGGTAATGCGTTACGCTGCGGTTCAGCGTGAATTTGAGCCCTGGGAGAAACATACCCGATCTAGGCTGAGCGATCAACGTGTTAAACAATCTTTTCGGAACAATTATACCCGTGAATGCTGTACTGAAAAATACAACACGAAGAACTTTAAAATAATTGTGCTAATAATTATACTAAAAAATTGCTTCTTAGAGATGGTAATTATATGAAACATTAATTCTGAGCTATACCAATTTTGTACTTTCTCTATATAGAAATTTATTATTACTATGATAGTGGTTAATGACTTATTTTAAAGATCTAAAACTAATTGTTATTAGTAATAATTAAATTATAGGGCTCATAGTTTTCCCAAGTATTTCAATGCTTAGAGTTGCAGTGATTAAATAATACTTTATTATTAATATAAATACTTAAATATTAATGCTTATTAGCGCAGTAGTAATAAAATATTAATAATTATAGCGATACATTGGCGCTACTGATCTTTGCAGGGGCCTAGGTTTATCTGTCTCTCACAGCATGTGGTGCGCACGCAGATTCTACTCATGCATACGAGACTTACAGTTTAAACGCCTAATCAGAGCGGTAAATTAAAGAGGTTTCTCTTGGCATGAATACTCTTTGGGATTTGCCAAATCACCGAAGAGGAGCTACGAATATGTGAAAATTTTTCTGGCTCTATCGGAGATCAAACCCGGAACTACCTCTAGCATGGTAGACAGATGCGCTGTTTACCATGCCATGCTCGCGCTCAATAAATTATTAGGTGTATTAATTAATTCATGCCTCTAAATTTTGCACAAAAATATAAATCATTTTAACTTAAGTTCTTGTCGTGCCATTTTGATATTTTAAAATATTTACCTTCAAGATTAAAATATGCCATATAATTCGATATTTAAGTAACATAATCTTAAAAATCAGTAGTGAACGTCATAGCCTACAATAAATAACATATTTAACACTGCATGCGTTTTACGTTTAATCTCAATAATAAAAACGCTTCTGAGGCAGCCAAAATGATTTGTTCCGCTTGGGAGAAGGTGCAGTGAATGAAAAAACGTACAGAAAATAGTTTAGTCGTTTTCAAAACGATGATTTCAATGTTGACGATCAATCACGTGCTGGACAGACTCGAAAGTTTGAAAATGATGAACTGCAGACACTATTCGATGAAAACTCGGCTAAAACACAAAAAGAACATACCAAATATTTTGGAGTGGTGCAACCGACGTTTTCGGTTCAATTGCACCAACTGGGAAAAAATTCATAAAGAAGGTAGTTGGGTTCTACATGAACTGACCGCTAACAACAAAAATCGTCGAATGACCACGTGCATTTCTTTGGTCGCCAGAATAAAAAAAGATTTTTTGCATAAAATCGTAACTGGTAATGAAAAATGAATTATACAGTCAACCCTCCTATAACGCGGTGAGTGCGTACCGCGTTATATGGAAACCGCGCTATAAGAAACTCGGATTTAACCGTACAAACCAGGCTAATTCGTAGCGCGTTGTATGGAAACCATCTACCGCGTTGTATGGAAACCGCGCTATAAGAAACTCAGAATTAGTACAAATCACATCATTCGTACCGCGTTATATGGAGACCAATAAATACAAAAGACAAGATAAATTATAAATTATTTTTATTGAATTGAAGAGTTCATATAAGGAAATGATAAAAAAAAATGAAACAAAAACTAAACTAAAAAACTGTTTTCCAATAAAAAAAAAGAAAGACTTTTGTAAAATTATGTAATCTTTTAACACTCATCCTCGCTGTCAAATATGAGTCGCCTAACTCGTCTTCTTTTAATGGGTAAAATGTCTTCCTCACTTGGTTCATCTTCACATTGGTTTTCGATTGTAGCTTTTTTTTCTTAACTCCACTGAAACTTCTCTATAGGGAGCTAAGCAATTTCTTAACTCTCTTTTAAACTTTGCGCTGCGCACCGTTGAATGATCAATTTGAATGAAATGAAGTTCTAATTCTTTAGCCAAATTTAGCCCTTTTTTCACATCTTGTAAATCAAGATTTGGCACCCATTCGTTTTCCATATTTTCGTTTAGCAATGCATTTGAGGTAGGTGCATCAATTAATTCCATCAGTTCTTCCTCATCTAAAGTTTCTTCCCCGAGTACTAGTTCTCTTACATCCTGATGGCTTACTACAAATTCTTCATCGCTTAAACGAGAAGCAATGTTTACTATTTCTGAAACTGGGAGTGAAATTGTAGAATCATCTTGTATTGCTTGAACCATTTGAGGTAAAAGAGGTTTCCAACACGCATTAAGCGTTGATGGTTTAATTTCCGCGCAGGCCGATGACACGGTTCTAATACAATCTAAAATAGTAAATTCTTTCCACACTTGAGTAAGAGTTTTATTTTCACTATTTTCTAATCTGTCGAAAATGGTTTGGAAAAGTTGGCGTGTGTAGTACATTTTTAAAGTTTGAATGACTCCTTGGTCCAAAGGTTGTATTAATGACGTGCAGTTAGGAGGAAGGAAGACCATTTTCACATTTGGATGATCCAGTTCTATGTTGTGGCAACCAGCGTTATCAAGAACCAATAAAACTTTGAAATACAAATTTTTTTCCATCGTATAGATTTCCACTGCCGGGATAAAACAATTATAAAACCAATCCTTAAATAAATCTTGAGTCATCCAAGCTTTCTTATTAGATCGCCAGAATACAGGCAATTGGGTCTTATTAATGTTTTTCATTACACGGGGAGTTGAAGAACGATTTATTATCATTGGTTTTATCATCAGGCTCCCTGATAGATTGCTGCACACATGAAGAGTGATACGTTCTTTTGAAGCTTTAAACCCCTGAGCACGCCTTTGATTTTTCGAAATAAAGGTTCTAGATGGTAGTTTTTTCCAATATAATGCCGTCTCATCGGCGTTAAAAATCTGATCAGGTGAATAACCTCCTTCATTGATAATTCTAGCTAGTTCCAGCTTATAATTTTCGGCAGCCTCAGCATCTGCTGAGGCCTGTTCTCCTTGAAACTTAATATTGTGCAATGTGTACCTTTTTTTTAGTTTTTCAAACCATCCTTTACTCGCGACAAACGAATGATTTTGTAGCCCTGCATAAGAATGCCCAATATTCCTTAAATGTTCGTAGATTTTAAGTGCTTTCTGCTTGATAAGATTTCCACTGATAGGAATCTTTTTGGCTATACAGTCTTCCAACCAGATCATTAACGCCCGTTCCATTTTAACCATATTAGAATTTCGTATGCGAGTGACACGTTTCGCACCTAACGGACAGCCATTTGCCACAGTTTTCCTTATATTATCTGCATTTTTCTTTAAGGTTCGAATTGTAGATTCATTCAAATTTGTTGATTTTGCAACAGACGATATTTTTTCCCCACCTTCTAAACGATTTAAAATTTGGATTTTATCTTCAAGAGATATAAACTTTCTTTTTAATCCTTTCCTTGTTTCTTTTGTGTTTGACATCATGCAAATCTAGGGTTAAAAATTACTTTATTATTATTATATTAGAACAAATGAAGAATATTACTTACAGTATTGTGTAATGTTGTCCAATTATAAACCACAAATAAACCGTTTGAGTGCCACGGAGCGATTTTGCGCTTCTTCGCTGTCGCTCGAACAGTGCCAGCAATCTCAGCCGACGTGCCACGCACGTCGTTTCTGTGACAATTGCCTGACGACGTGTATATCACGTCGTTGGCGATTCTGCGACAAAAGCATTACGACGTGCGTAGCACGTCTTTCCACCGCAAGTGGTTAAAATCATTCATTGGGTGCACGGAAAGAACTGATGGGACGTTGTTGAACGGAAACCGCGCTGTAAGAGTACCGCGTTATAGGAGGGCTGTCGCAATTTCAGCTCCGCGTTATATGGAAACCGCGTTCTGAGAATACCGCGTTATAGGAGGGTTGACTGTATATGATAATCCTAAACGCAAAAAATCATGGGTGGATCAGCCAATGACATCAACGCTAAAACGTAAACGCTTCGGCAAAATGATTCTTCTTTGGTGGAACCAAAAGGGTGTGCTGTACTATGAGCTCCTTGAGACAGATCAGACAATTAATGCAGAGCTTTACCAACAATAATTAATCAATTTGAGCAATACAATTGAAGGAAAACGGCCAGTTACTGAGCAAAGCAGTCCTAGCCACAAGGTCATCTTGCTACATGACAGCGCTAAGCCGCACACGGCATTTCAAACTTAGGCTGTGAAATTATTCCTCAAGCGGCATATTCGCCAGACATAGCCCCTTCAGATTACCACTTGATTCGATCGATGCAGCACTCTTTATCGGATATACACTTCGACTCAACTTGAAGATGTTCAAAACTTTGTCGATGAATTTACCGTTTCGAAACCACCAAGTTTCTATCGCGATGGAATACGAAAGTTGCCCGATAGGTTATTACGGTTGTATTGAGAAGTCGAGATGCCTCTATATTTTTATGGGATTGCCGGTGTTGCCGGTGTTTTTGGCGTGATCCTCGTTTACCTCTCTGATTATTTTAATGTTTAGATCTTAATGCAGGCAATCCGTCCTTATACACCACGGTGCATCAACCGCACATCGTACTACTTTGTTTTGAAATTTTTGTATTGTTTCTATGTGAATCTTCTTGGTACAGCTCCAGAGCTATATCCTGTAGGTCCACACTGGTTTTAATACTTGTTGATCAGTAATTTGTTATATATAGACAATTGAGAATTGTCGGCCTAGCATCCAGTACATTTTACTAAATTTTAGATTAAGTTCTTTTCTTTTTGTTTTTACATGTTCTTTCCAGCGCAGCTTAGTATCTAACGTCATATCAAGGTATTTCGCAGTATTTGCCGCTGGAACAATTTCGCCATTAATACGTACAGGCAAAACTGTACATTTACGATTAGTGAAATTAACATGTTGCGATTTGCTCTCATTAAGCATAATACGCCACATCTTGGTTCAGTTCGTGATTTTGTCTATCGCTCTCTGAAGTTTATTAGTCGCTCCTTTGACAGTGTTTCCTGTAGACAATAACATATAGCTGTATCATCCGCAAACGTAGCTATTGTTGTTCCGCCATAACGAGGTATATCACTAAAATATATCAAGTACAGGATAGGTTCCTATACGCTCCCTTGGGGGACTCCTGCATTTATCTTACGATACGTGATAAAGTCGCCAAGCAGATTTTTTTCTTCTAAGTATTTTTTTATAATATCAGTAATGTGATAGACTTAACTATTGTCGAGTGTTCTTCCCGGAACCCGAATTGATGAGGCAGGATTAGCTCTTTTATTTCAATTGTTGGCTTGAGACATGTTAACAATAACTTCTCAAATAGCTTAGAAATGACAGAAAGTAACGAGATAGGAAGCCAGATATGAAGTTATCTTTTCCAGTGATTTCCCTGGCTTGGCAATTATGATTACTGCCGCCATCTTCCACTATTTTGGCACGTATTTCATTTGAAATGCTACACTTATCAAATATGTAAGTTTAACGATTAACTATTACAATTAACTCCTTTTAGTAGTTCTTTCAAGACTTTTCCGGTGATTAAATCGGAACCTAGGATCTTTTTAGCATTAATATTTATTTCTATCTCCATATGAACTTCCTTTGGTGTTATGAACCTGATTTCACAATCAGCCTCACAGTTCACTAGAGTAACGTCTTCATCAGCTGTTTGTTGCGTGAGAGGTTGAAATGTACTTCCTAGATGATCCGCATACATTCTTCCATTTTTTTCATGACTTCATCCCCATGTTCCATCGGTTTTTCTCAACGGTGAATAATCGGACGTCTGCATTTCTTCTTGGCTTTCCATAACGAATGTTACGTCCTGGGTACTTCGAAAAAAACGAATTCTTTTTTTTTATGATTAAGAAACAGACGGATTTGGGCAAACGCTATTGTAAAAAGGATGAGATTACATGTCGCCAAATACGTCATAAGTTTCCCAACGCGTCTATCTTCTTTTCCGCCTTCACGTAAGCTACGTAGTTTTGTTACATCCTGGGTACCCCGGGAACAACGAATTTCCTTTTTTTATAATTAGGAAAACAGACGAATTTGGGCAAGCGCTAAGATTACATGCCGCCAAATGCGCATAACATATTTGTTTCTCTATGCGTCTATCATCCTTTCCGTCTTCACGTAAGGTAGGTGGTTTTGTTACATCCTGGGTATCTTGGGAGCAGCGAATTCCTTCCTTTTACGATTAGGAAAACAGACGGATTTGGGCAAGCGCTAAAAATTATACGTCACCAAATGCGTCATGTGTTTCCCAACGCGTCTGTCATCTTATCCGCCTTCATATATGGTCAACCGGACTCTGGCCTTTTGATGGGATTAGGTTCTTAGGATCGTTTATGATACCCTGAAAATATTAGGAGATTTCCAAGGTATCCGTTTTCCAATCTTCCATTGCCGTTTTTCACGAAAAATCCTCTCATTGACGATCGTCATCCGCCACCCGCAAAAATATTCCCTATATAAGCCTCATTCTCTTGCCACAAGCTCACTTGTCATTTCGACTCCTATTGCGTTTTGTCATTTCGACTTCTATTGCATCTTTGTCATTTCGACTTTTATTGCGACTTTTCATTTCGACGTCCATTACGACTTCCACTACGACTCCGCCTTCTGTTGCTGACGAACTCGCTGTACGAATCGGAATCTCTCCAGTGCCAGTGCTTCTTCTGGTGAAAACTTGCTGTGCAACTCGGGATTTCTCTAACAAGTTATTCATCTCGATATTCTGGTGAATAATCCGAGTATTAGAATCTCTCGACATTTTGATTTAACCGTCGTGAGTGCACCTACCATCCAGACGACCTGAGTCACGAAACGACAGCCAGGCTCAGAAATTCAAGAAAGGTCAACACATCTCAAATCAGCGAGTAAGTACTCAGCATAATTTATATTCGTCCCTATTCGCTTCAATCTCTTAATTCATTAATATTTATCCATATCATAGTGAATATCCTATGTGGAAAGCCAGGCCTTTGCATTGGTAAATAGAGATCTTCGTTAGGCTAGCGACGACACGCTAGGAGCACAACTTAGGGCCTTTTCGGAACTCTTATTCTCAGACAAGAATACCTTGTCACCGCCAGACCGTTCCCCTCTTGCCCCTTTCTATTAGCATGACCCTAACTATCAACCACCAAACCCCTCTACCGAGATACCACCCTCTCCCAACTATTATTTTCCACGGTCCCCTGGGCTTCATCTCCCGCTTCCTCACCGTGGTACCTTAACCCATTTTCGCGTTCCCCGACACTTAACCCACTTCATCGTTTTTCTATGTCCTAGTTAGGCTAGGTTTGATTAAATAGGTGCAGAAGTTGTTTTTGATCCACCGTTTTGAATTTTGTAATTATGATAACATCAGATTCGTGTACAGCGATCTAAATAACCCACGGACCCAATAACCCAATTTTCAAAATATTTACTTAAGAATTCACCGAAATGTCGATTTTTCACCATTTCGGTAGTGCATAGTGTCATCGTCGAAATGTTAACATTTTTAAATCTTCATAACTTAGCAAAAAAAAATTATACAGATATAAAAATCGCAATGTCAGGACAAAAGATCGGTACTTTAAGATGCCATTGAAAGAATGTTAAAAACATAATTTAGTCAGCCATGGTGACGCCTTGAATTTGGCAAAAATCATTGTTTTAGCACATATTACCCCATTTATCTAGAAAACCTGAGGTAATGGACTTTTTTTGTTGATGGATTCGGATTCAGCGACTAAAATTACGTAGAATGCCACAAACCTGCTCCTTGTATTTGAACCTAATAGGCCTGTGTAGTCTACCGTCCAACGCTGACTATCTTATAGCGTTTCGGATGCTTTGTTAATTATCTTCCACTGCTTGTCCATCAATTGAGATGTTATTTAGTTTCATATTTAGTTTGTGTTGATATATTTCAAGCATCTCTGTATAGTTTAGATTCTCTACATTAAACTTTTAACAACTGACATAGGATTTGTATGACCTATTCAATATTTGGCAGAGACATTTTATCCCCAATAGGTCTGACTCCACATTTACCAGGTGTAGAAGTATGAAACCGGAATTTTTTTGTAAAAATTACACGTCTGTTGTTTGAAAATGATAAAAAATATTTTATTCAAAATAAAGTCCATTGCTATTTATATATTTTTCCCACCTCTCCGGCAGTTTATGAATGCCACGCCAAAAAAACATTTCTTCTTTTGAAGCGAAACAGCTATCGAACCATTTTCGTACATTTTCACACGAATTGAAGCGTTGTTCAGCGAGAGCGTGTCCCATTGATGCGAATAGATGATAATCGGACGGAGCCAAATCTGGAGCCGCATGCGTTAGTATTTCCCAACTGAACGCCTCGATCGTTTCCCTGACCCGTTTTGCTGTGTGTGATGGGGCATTATCATGGAGCAAAATGACTTTGTGTTGCCTTTTTCCATATTCCGGTCGTTTTTCACGCGATGCTCGATTTAAATCGATCATTTGCTGTTGGTAGCGATCAGTGTTAACGGTTTCACCAAGTTTTAGGAGCTCATAATAGATTACACCCTTCTGATCCCACCAAACACAGAGCATTGTCTTCTTTCCAAAGCGATTGCAGCGGATGTCGATGGTTCTCCTGGATTCACCCATGATATTTGACGCTTAGGATTCTCAAAATATATCTATTTTTCATCACCTGTCATGATACGATGTACTTTTTTTTGTATCTGTCGAGCAGCATTTCACAAGTGGTTTTTCGATTTTCTTGCTGTCTTTCATTCAGTTCATGCGGAACCCATTTTCCCACTTTCTGAATCTTTCCCATGGCTTTCAAACGAATTGAGACAGCTTTCTGCGTCTCATTCAATTCATCCGCGAGTTCTTGTTGAGTTTGAGTA